GGGTCACACGGGGGTCGGAAGACACTTCTGTGGACGATGAATCGGTCGTCGGGACGGTTCGAAGCAAAGCGATGCCAATCTCTTTGACATGCTCGGAACGGCATGCGTCTCGAAAAGATTTGGCACTCACGACTTGGCACCTAATGGAAGAGCGAGGAGGAGGAATAGTACATGAGACCTCGGCGCCAGTTGCATCACGAATCGTGAGCGTGCGTCGATGGAAATTGACCGTGTGGTCCGCGCTAGAAAGCCAAGGCATCCCCAAAATGACATCGAAGTCGGTGTCCAACACATCAAAAGTGACGGATTCACATGCGTGCGGTGCAAAGTACACCGGGACAACCGAGATGTAACGGTCTAAAAACTGTTTCGTCTTACCGTCGGCAAAAGCGACCATCATCGGATATGACTTCCTCTGTACTTGTGCGCCAAGGCCAGCCCGAGTCATGAAGGACTGGCTGATGAAGTTGCGAGTTGCGCCGCAATCTAGCAAGGCGTTGCAGGCCGCTTGCCCAATCTGAATGCGAACGTAGAGCAACGGTGCGTTGTTTTCTTCGTACCGTTGCGAGACAAACTCGCGGGCCACCTTGGCAACGTAGCCAAGCATGTCCCCCACCGCGACTTCGTCTACCGTCGGAGAAGTTAGTGGTGCATGGAAGGAAAGATACTCGTGTAAGAGGGCGCATAGGGCTGCACTTTGCGGCCCCGGAAGGTTGCCCGTCGTAGGGAGAGGAATCCAAGCGAAGTCCTCGGGCGTGAGCGGGTCCAAAGCCTCCTCGTTGAACATGCTTGCCGAATCCCTTGATGAAGACGAACTGGCGGAAGAACCTTCGGACGGTGCGAAAGCCGCACATGTATCTTGTCCTTGAGAAGCATCCAGTGAAGGAACGAGCCGGGCAGCGAAGTCTTCGAACGAAAGTGGAAGACTCCCGACATCCGCATATGCCTCGGAAGAAAGGATGGTCGTGCGCACAACCGCTTCCGATGGCGTCGAGGGAGGTGTCGAGTCACCCTCGGCGGCGCCTACTTTCCCTGACGGGGTTTCCCCTTGGTGGGGCAATGTGCAGCATCGTGGATGGTGCTGTTGCACCAAAGGCAGTAACGGTACTTGAGTCTCGTGCGATAAGAATTCGCCGAGAGTCCGTATTGTGCCCAAGGTTCGTCGGCGGCTGATCCGGTGCTCGGTGTAGAGGTGGACTGAGTCTTCGTCTTGTCGCGGCCGTGGTTGTTGCGCGGCCGGCCTCCATCCCGGGCAGCTGCCAACACTTCACCCTCGTTTGGTGTTGCAGCCTCGGTAGAAGTAATGCAAGCCACCTTTGGCTTGGGCTGGGTGCCGCTCGTCGTCGCGGAAGATCGGCCTGCGTTGCGGGCTTCGATATTCGTGAGAATGATCCGTGACGCGGTGCTGAAAAGCTTGTCGGATGTGTCGAGTGTCTCTGCAATCTGCGTCAGCGCGTTTTGCAGAGCTGTACACGAGCGCATGATAAACAAGTGCTTAATGGCGCGGAAAGCAAGCGGCAGGTCAGGTGTGGAGGCGAGTCTTTGGAACTCGGTAATCCAGTCCTAACTGAGCAACGTGTTCTGATGGAGCTTGTTGAGCTTGTCCATCGCTTGCAGGTCGGGCGGCTCCACTTGGAATCGCTTGTGCCAGGCGCCAGTCAACTCCTGCCAAGTGAGCTTGGTGTGCAGTTCCGACACTGCTACGCCGTGGCTGGTCAAGATGTTGTCCAGCCATGCTCGACACGCACCACCAGATCGGTGGTACAAGCACGGATGTCGATCGTTGTTCGGGACATGGTGCATGTCGAGCCTGAGAGTAAACTGGCGCCACCACGGGATCGGTTCCGTCTTGGACTATTCGCAGAAGACGGGAATGTCATCCAGCTTGGGTGGGCGCCGGGAGGGTGCGGCGGCGGGCGTCACAGTGGCATCAGCCTGGACCTGCGTCTCCAACTGCAAGTTCGTTGCTTACTGCGACGTCCGGAAGTCCTGATGCACACGCTTGATGTTGCTGACGTCATCCTCCAAAACTTGCACACGGGTGGTAAGGGTGGAAGGCCCTGCGGCTGCTACAGTAGCTGGCTGTTTCTCCAACGCCTGCAGCCGTGCGAGCATCTGGTCCACTGTCTGCTGCAGGTGAAGGATTTCCTCCTGCTGCAGAGCGCAGGTGGCCACGAGGTCGTGGGAGACCTGCGCAAGGGCTGACAGCCCTTTCTCAGTCTCCGGGGCCCCGTCCGCAGATGTCACTTCCACCCAATGTGCGGCCTCATCGTCGATCACGGTCTCCCGCGTGAACAGTCGTTCCCGCTGGCGTGACCGGTGTTCGGCTGCCGCCTGCAGGTCTGCCTCTTCTTGACGAAGTCGGTCCTGTTCCTCCTTCTGTCGCTTGGCCTCTGCCTCTTCTTGACGAAGTCGGTCCTGTTCCTCCTTCTGTCGCTTGGCCTCCTCCTCTTGTTCGAGCCGATTACGTTCCTTGGCCGCGGCGGTGGCCCTATTGTTGGCCTCCTGAATGAATGCCGCCAGGCGTTCCTCATAGGCCAGGAGGGATTCTCCCGCCTTCCGGTCCATGGCCTTGGTCTGTGATCGAGTGAGCAGTGTYATGCAYTGCTGTGCCCGAAGTCTGAAGAGTCACTCGAGGGCCAATCTGATGGACTGGCCCAGTACCCGAACTGGAGGGGGAGGAATAGGTAGGAAGCAGACAA